GGAAGTTGGTCCTGCCCATTACCTGCCATCAGCCCGATCCCCAGGGTAGTGAGGGCCTAAGGCAGGGAGGTAGGTGCCATGGGTCCTAGCTGGCTCAGTCAGACCCAGGGTTTGCTTTGCAATGTCTGTTCCGGCCTCTGAACAGAGTCCCAATCCAGCCTCTCATTCCTCTCCAGGTGCAGAGCAGACAGAGAAGGCTGATGCCCCCCGGGAGCCTCCACCTGTGGAGCTCAAGCCAGACCCTACAAGCGGCATGGCTGCTGCAGAGGCTGAGGCCTTGTCAGAGAGCTCAGAGCAAGGTGCCCCTCCACCCAGCCAGGCTGACTTCCTGTACACTCACAGGGCCTGGCCCATCTTCCACTGCCCTTTTGGACCATCTCTACTTCCATCTCTAGCTTGTCCTGCTTGGACCTATCATTCCTGGGAACTCTGTGCCCCTCATGTCGTGAACACTCATGAGTCTCGGTTACACATCCTGGCCAGGTTTCTGTTAGCCTGGAGGCATCTTGACATAGCCCCTGAGCTTCTGCCTCTGCCCAGCTCTGGGCATTGCGTGGGCTGTGCCATGTTGCCCAACAGCCACCCTAACAAGTATTTGTTGACTTGAGAGTGCCCATCGCAGCTGACTGAGGCCCCACGAACCCACATCCTCCAAGTAGCAAATTCGTGGGTCACATTAATACTAGGGACTGTTCCCTAAAGAAAGGGGCTTGTGCAGTGGGGAGGGAGCTAGGCCAGACCCAAAAGGTTCTCTGAATCCAGCCTAAGTAGCTCAGGGCCTGACCTTCTCTTCACAGAAATGGAAGTGGAACCAGCCAGCAAAGGAGAAGAGGAACAAGAGGAGGAGGGCACAGGGCCTGCCCTGGTCAAGGAAGAAGGGATACATCAGAACGGGGAGCCCCCTGAGGAGAACGAAGAGTCTGTGGGCACAGACTCTGGGCAGGAGCTTGGCATGGAGGCCCGGAGCCTGCGCTCAGGCACCTACGGGGATCGCACAGAGTCCAAGGCTTATGGCTCCATCATCCACAAGTGTGAGGTGCGGGGCCGTGGGCGGTGCCAGCCCTGTGCCTCCAGGGCCTCTGCAGCACCTCATGCACCCCCTTCCTGATGCACCTGCAGGACTGTGGGAAGGAGTTCACACACACGGGGAACTTCAAACGGCACATCCGCATCCACACGGGTGAGAAACCCTTTTCGTGCCGGGAGTGCAGCAAGGCCTTCTCAGACCCCGCAGCATGCAAGGCCCATGAGAAGACACACAGGTACCCACCTTGCCTCCGCCAGGCTGGGTGTCTCTCTGGGACTCTGCAAGTGCCCCATCCTGTAACTTGCTGCCTTCTGACCCACAGCCCACTGAAGCCCTATGGGTGTGAGGAGTGCGGCAAGAGCTACAGGCTTATCAGTCTGCTGAACCTGCACAAGAAGAGGCACTCAGGAGAGGCTCGCTACCGCTGTGGTGACTGTGGCAAGCTCTTCACCACTTCTGGCAACCTCAAGCGCCACCAGCTAGTGCACAGTGGCGAGAAGCCTTACCAGTGCGACTACTGTGGCCGTTCCTTCTCTGACCCTACGTCCAAGATGCGCCACCTGGAGACTCATGACACCGACAAGGAGCACAAGTGCCCACACTGCGATAAGAAGTTCAACCAGGTGTGCACCCCTCCCTGAGCCAGAGCTGGAGGAGCCCCTGCTGGTGGTTCCCCAGGGTTAGCACAGAGCAGCCACTGTCTGTGGACAGGGACTCTCCTAGGGATGTGCTCCCACCACTTGTTCTGCCCAGGCACCCAGAAGGGCAGGTTGACTTAGGAAGAACTGGCTGGGGTAGTCTTTCCTTCCACTGCTGGGACCTGGAGCATTCCCTGGGCCTCAAGGAGGGATGGAACCAGCCACAGCCCCCTGGAAGATCTGAGAGTCCATTTCCTGGCTGGAGGGTTGGGGAGAAGCAAGTCGACCTTTCTGAGCCCCTGTCTGGGCACAGGTGGGGAACTTGAAGGCCCACTTGAAGATCCACATTGCTGATGGGCCCCTTAAGTGTCGAGAGTGCGGGAAGCAGTTCACCACCTCAGGTAGGCCCAGAGTACCCTGGCTGCCCTCACCTCTGCACCTTGGCCTCCTCCCAGTGCAGCACACGGCTTACCCTGCATCTCCCAACAGGGAACCTCAAGCGACACCTGCGTATCCACAGTGGGGAGAAGCCCTACGTGTGCATCCACTGCCAGCGGCAGTTTGCTGACCCCGGCGCGCTGCAGCGGCACGTACGGATCCACACGGGTGGGTGAGAAGGCCCTGTGGGATTGGGGAAGGAGCACGGGGAGCAGAATGGGTGCCAGTGCCTTCTGCCTCTGTCCTCAGGTGAGAAGCCCTGCCAGTGTGTGATGTGCGGCAAGGCCTTCACACAAGCCAGTTCCCTCATCGCCCACGTGCGTCAGCACACAGGGGAGAAGCCCTACGTCTGCGAGCGCTGTGGCAAGAGGTGCTGCCCTGCCCTGCCCCCAGGGTGCCATGAGACCTAGAGCCCCAGGCTTGTCCCAGGGTTAACCTAGATGAGGTGGGGAGTTCCTGCACCCTCCAGACTAGGCTCCTGTGGGTCACTGTGAGCACCCCATCTATGGTCCTGTAGGTTTGTCCAATCCAGCCAGTTGGCCAATCACATCCGCCATCATGACAACATCCGACCCCACAAGTGCAGCGTGTGTAGCAAGGCCTTCGTGAATGTGGGGGACCTGTCCAAGCACATCATTATCCACACTGGTGAGCAAATGCCACCTGTCTGTGCACACCCCTTCCTAGTCCAGCTTACAGAAGAGGGGTTGGCAGGACAGTGGGAAGCCTTGGGTGCCACACCTGAATTTGGGGGCCCTTGAAGGTAGTTCAATACAAATGTGGATTCCCACCTGCCTCAAGAGAGAGGGGTGGGTATCACCAGAGGCATCTGTCAGCTCTGGTGGCTACCTCAGAGAACCAGAGAAGATGGGGTTTTTGGGTAAGTGGGAGCCCAGAGGTCCTCCCACCCCCCACCCGGGCTGCCCCTCCTCCTCCAAGGCAGGAGCAAACCTTGCCTCCCCACCAGGAGAGAAGCCTTACCTGTGTGACAAGTGTGGTCGTGGCTTCAACCGGGTGGACAACCTGCGTTCCCACGTGAAGACTGTGCACCAGGGCAAAGCGGGTATCAAGATCCTGGAGCCAGAAGAAGGTGGTGAGGTCAGCGTGGTCACTGTAGATGACATGGTCACGCTGGCCACTGAGGCACTGGCAGCAACGGCTGTCACTCAGCTCACAGGTGTGGGCCATGGGCAGCAGAGGGTAACCACAGGCACCTTACATCGGTGGCGGCAATGGGGTAGGTCCCTGTGGCTTTTGCCTCAGGCCCTCCTGATTCTGCCCACAGTGGTACCAGTAGGGGCCGCAGTAACTGCTGATGAGACAGAAGTCCTTAAAGCCGAGATCAGCAAGGCTGTCAAGCAGGTGCAAGAAGAAGGTGAGAGGGGCCACCTGGGGCATTAAATACTGGTGGACCCGAGGTCTTTTCTATCCTGACCACAGTTTCCACCCCACAGACCCCAACACCCACATCCTCTATGCTTGTGACTCCTGTGGAGACAAGTTCTTGGATGCCAACAGCCTGGCCCAGCATGTTCGGATCCACACAGCCCAGGCACTGGTCATGTTCCAGACTGATGCGGACTTCTACCAGCAATATGGGCCAGGCAGCACATGGCCAGCCGGGCAGGTGCTGCAGGCTGGGGAGCTGGTCTTCCGCCCTCGGGATGGGGCCGAAGGTCAGCCTGCACTGGCAGAGACCCCACCCACAGCTCCTGAATGCCCACCGCCTGCCGAGTGAGCAGGTGGCCCTTCTGACTGTTTATTTAAGGATGGATGGCACCCTAGAACTGAGAAAGGTGCTCCTTGCCCTGTTCCCTAGAGAGAATAAATTTGCTATTTTCTAATGATGCCTGTAGATAGATACCTGTGGGGTTTGGGTGGGGAGCTGCCACCCCTATGGCTAATGCTACAGGTTATACCTAATCCAGGGAGGAGGCTGCCTGGGAAAGTCCTGCTGCAACTCCTGTGGAGAATGGAGCAGTGGGGCAGACGAGAACCAGGCAACCGAGAGCCCAACTTGAAGGCCTCAAGCCTCAGTGGTTTCACATCTGCTGTGGCCAACTGACTACTGGCTGGGTTCTCGTTACCTGGGGTTTGAAGAAACACTAAGGCTTCTTACCTGCTCCACCAGTGACCTTGCTGGAGTACTGAGGCCAAGCCAGTGCCATGCTGTGGGACACTGGCTGGCTGGAATCTGCCACCAGGCTGGCACCAAGAGACAGGAAAGCAGCAGCTAGGAGCAGTGCTAGGTGGGATCACATGGCACAGGGGCTGCCCACCTTTCTCGTCTACAGCTCTAGATGACATGTCCCCAGCAGCTGTCCTCTTGTACACAGGTTTATTGAATGGCACGAGGCAACTTTGTAGTCCCCATGTCCATGTCCCCCAGATCTAGTACCACAGCTTCCTCTGTGGAAGCAGGTACAGAATCAACAGCCCCAGGAACCCAAGGCCCCGCCCTTGCCTCTATAGGACAGCACAGTGCCCTTCGGAAAGGAGAGGGCCAGGCATGCACCCAGAGCAGAAGATGCAAGGGGTTGGGGGAAAAGAAGGGCTTCATTATGTATCAATCTGAAGTGCCTTCTGTGTTGCCTAGGAAACAGGACTTTGAGGTTTCACAGGTATCTACAACACTGAAAAACATTAAAGTTCAGCATTTGTGCTTTAAAAGAAAAAAAAAAAAATCACATACAGGCATGGTGGTACACTCCAATCCCAGCACTTGGGAGGCAGAGCAGAGGCAGATGGATCTCTCTGAGTTCAAGGCCAGCTGGAGCTATAGGGAGACAAAAAAAAAAAATCTCACGTACAAGGTAAAATGCTCTTTGGGGAAGACCACATGGCAGCAAAGGACCCTTTGATTCCCACTCAAGCAACAATCACATTCACACTTGAGGTGTTTTGTATTTTTTAATAAAGTTTGTAATCCAATGGACACACAAAACAAAACTGCGCTGAGAAAAAGTTTCATAAATTAATAAGTATTAGGAAGTCGGGAGAGGTCCAGGTCACAGGAAGAGGGATTGGCCAGGTCTTTTTTTACTTGTGATGTGTGACACTTCCATGTTGCAGGAGCAGGACCCGTGCTGTAACGAAGCGCACTTATACAAATGAGTGACGGTACAAAGTCTGAGTATGAAAATAAGATTTTCTTTGAAAACACATTTTTGGCACAGATTAAAAAAAATGTATGTCAGGGAAATTTGATTTAAGTCAGTATTATATATATTTATATATATTATATATTTATATATACACACATCCCATTTCTGCATATCCCACCAAGAAAGAAAATCCTGTTTGCTCTTAATTGTAAACTGTACATCCGGTGAGTCAAAGACGGCAGAATTAAGAAAGGTGACAGGTCCGATGAAGTGAGAGGTGGGGCAAAAAAAAAAAAACATGAAATGTTCCTTGACCCCAAGGTTTCAGCAGAAGTCCCAAGTCCTGCATTGAGTCCACGGTGTGTTCACTACACCAGAATGTCCAGCGTATTCTATCACAGCCTGTCTTCACTGTGCAAAAGTCCAAGTCACTAATTTAGTGCAAAGGCAGTTCTGTTTTGTTTCGTAACAAAAACAGGAATTCCACTGCTCTGTTCCTTTTCTCCAAAAAGAGGAGAGAATCCCAGCTCCTAAGGTGTCTGAGTCCATGGGTCGGTGGTCTGTCCTGGGCGAAAATTTCATGTAAACATACTAGGCAGCAGCACCACCGCCCAGAGGAGGTCTGTCCCACGGAGCTGGGCAGGTGCGAGAGTGAGGGCAGCTCGAGGGCAAGGGAGGCCGGCTGGCATCTGGCAGTCTGCCCCTCAGCAGCTTCCCCTCTGGCTGGCTGGGTGTCCACGGTTCTGTCCTGTGTTCATTTTTTGCAGCAGAGCCTCAGGAAACTACACTGAGGTGGCAACCACTGAGAGCCTCACACAGAGGCAATGACAATCATGAGGTGGGGAGAGATGTTGGAAACGCTGGCTAGGAGATCAGGGGCCAGACGGGAGAGGTGGCTCTCTGAGAACTCACAGGGTGGGAAGATCTGCAGCACATAGGCAGGCTGGAGGAGAGAGAGAAAGTGGAACCCGCTGCCTGCACTTCACCCTCCCCACTGTACTTGTATCAGGCAGGCCATGAGGCCCTATGCTCAGAGCCAGGCCACCCATGAAACCCATGGTGTCAGGGTACTAGTCTCACATTACTAGAACCTCTGTGTCTTCCGGGTCAACACCATCCCCTCCCAGCTGTTCTCTGCGGCTTCTTAGGGATTGCCATGGTGGTTGTGCTCATGGTGCTTGCAGCCTCACTAAAAATGCCCTTTTGCTCACCTCCTCTGGGAATTCCCCCTAGGGGACTTAGTTGGTACTTGAAATACCCATGCCACCAGACTAGTCGGCCCTCCTGCCCTAAACTGGCCCCACCTATCTGCAAAAATGTGGGATGGGGATGGGATGACAGACCAACCTGATTGGAGCCAGGATTGGGAACGTTGATGATCCCTGCCGCCTGCTTGGCCTGCAGGTAAGTGATGAAGGCAGCCTTGAGGGATTCGGTCTGGCTCACCACGTCCTCTTGGTCACGACCACAGGGCAGAGCCAGCAACAGACAGTAATCTGTTTCCACCTGAAGCAGGGGTCAAGTGGTCAGGGATCTCCCTGGCTAATAGTGCATGTCCAAGAAAACTCTACCTCCAACATGGCTCTGTAAGACCACACTAACATTTGTTAGAAGAAAACAAGCCTTATTTCTGGGTCTAGAGGTATTTCTCTTGTTGAATTAGAGAATGTCTTTCATCATCAACCTCAAGAGTACCATTACTGTGTCCCATGCCAGGAGACAGGTTGGTGAACCCACCTACACCTTCCCCTCCCTGTGAATTGAGTAAGGTGCTCACTTGGGGCCCACAAGTCTTACCGTCATCCTCCGGGCAACCCCTTCCAGTTGTGAGGCCTCCAGCCGCATCCTTTGGGCGATCCTCAGTGGGGGTCCTCCTTCAGAGAGAGGCAGGGACCGATGGGCCAGGACATTGTTGCCAGAGACAAAGTGGAGCTGCACAGCAGCCGTGTCATTCTTGAGGGCCAATAGGCCCTGCCACACGATGGGATACTTCTGCTTACAAGGAAACAGCAAAACTGAGATCATGGTACATCCCTAGCACCTCGTTAGTCAACATCAACTGGGGAATGTGATGACATTTAGAACTGAACAAGTTAGGGACGAAGTAACAGCCTCTGACCATCATCTTACCTTCAGAAGTTGGACCATATCCACAGGTCTCTGGCAAGTCAGGTGTGGAGAAGCATCTTGTTTGGGGGCTGGCTGGGCATCAGCATGCGGAAGAGCCAGTACTGGTGGGGTGCTTGGGCCTGAGGTTGCAGGGACAAACAACGGCTGCTTTGGGGCAGCCTGAGAGGGAAGAGGGGCTGGGAGGTCAGGCTTCACGGAGACAGACACAGGGGAGGGGTGGGCTGGCTGGCCTGTTTCCACCTGTGCCCTCTGAACCTGAGCATGGGGCTCAGGTGGCCTGTTTGCAGGGACAGCTGGGAGGCGAGGCTGCTCCACTCCTGTCTGGGTCCCCTTTGCCTCTTGGGAGACCTGAGGCATCTTGCTAGTAGGTGGCTGGGCAGGCTGGCTGAGTTGGGAGGGCTGGCAGGATGGTGTAGCTGGGGCAGGCTGTGTGGACTGCACAGGTTGTGCAGGCGGGGCAGACTGTGCAGGCTGAGTGGACTGCAAGGGTTCACCTTCAGGAGGGCCCTAGAGTTAGGAAGGCAAAGGGACAGTTAGAATTGCCTGTGTAAAGCCCCTGCCCCCAATCAAGAACCCAGCGGACCCAGGTAGAGACAACTGTATGGTGCTTCAAGCAGTCAAGCCCATGGAGGGAACATAAGCAGTTTCTCAAGCAAGAGGTCACCTACCATCTCCCTCTTCACCCTGCAGGCAGGAGCCCTTTGAATACAGAAGCCCCTCTTCACACCTCCAAGGTTAGCCTCTTTAGGGAAGGTCTGGCTAGTTTGTCTGTACCCTGCCCACTGTCCTTGTTCAAGGCCAATTTTTTAAAAACACTTATTGTATATGTAAGTGCATGATTTGGGGGGTAGGGGGATGGGTACCATGGTGTGTGTACAGAGGTCAGAGGGCAACTTTGTGGAGTCAGTTCTCATGCCTTCCAACTTTGCTTGGATTTCAGGGATTGAACTCAGGCTTGCACAGGCAGCAGCCAGCACCTTTACTCATTGAGCCATTACAATGCCCAGCCAACTCTCTAACCCATTGCTATCACAGAGCACCTCCTCCCAAGAACACACCCAATTGGTAGGGGAGAAACCTGGCTTCCTCACCTGGGCAGAAGTCTTGGTCCTGGAGGGCAGGCCGATGGAAGAGGTAATAGGAAACTGAGTATGTGTGAGCTGGGCTGGAGCATGGTAGGTACGGATGTCACCATATCTGTATTCTTGGAACAGTTCACCACTGGAGTGCACGATCTGTACTCCATGGGTCACAACCACAGGTGGGGTTAGAGGCAGGCCCTGAAGTTGGTTGCTGGGGGTGACTGTGAGGATTCGTGCTTCACCATGAGGGGGAGGGGGTGGGGCAGGGGCAGGGGCAGGAGCAGCAGCAGGGGCAGCAGGGGCGGCGGCAGGGACAACTTTGGCATCTGAAGTCTTGACAGCTTCTTTCACCAGCTGCTGAGGGGCCTTGCTGGCTGGTGGTACCTTCACTACTCCCTCTGTGGCCCTGGGCTGTTCACTGACAGCTGTCACATGGGGGTGCACCATGATCCTCACATCCCGGGGCACAGTGTATGGGTGGAGCCGATACTCAGATTGCATGACCAGCACCTCTGACTGTACAGGAGCTGCAGCTCGAGCAACGGGGAGGTGGTAGTGCACTTCTTCCTCAGAAGGGTGCTGGGAGGCCAGAGCAGGCACACTGGCTGTGACTGGCTGGGGTGTACCCACACGCTGTGGGGCCCTTGCCTCTATTTGTTGGGGTTGCAGGGGGGCCCGAGGAGAGTGTAGTGTCTCTGGCCGGATGCTATAGGTGATGCTGGGCAGTGTGGGCGTGTTCATTCTCACCTCACCTTGGGACAGATGGCCAAGGGACACAGTCTGGGTGATGCTGTGAGGTGGCATGATGACAGACTGCTCTGGGTGTATGCTGGAGATAAACTGGGGCACGGGAATGCCTGCAGCCAGCATGACTGTGGCATTGGTGGAGAGTGCTGTGGATGTGGTGCTGCTGGGATGGCATGCTCTTGGGAACGGGGATGCTGTAGGCCCACTGGGTCGAGGAGAATGTGTGTCTGGCTTTGTAGCTGCCAAATGGGAGATGGTCCGATCTGCTGGACTACTGGGTACTGACGGGACATGGTTCACTTCTGTAGGCAGTTTGCTGGGCAGAGCGGGAGGGTGGTGGGGAGTGAGAGTGGACCCCAGGTTGGCGGGTTGAAGGACCTTGGTCTCTATTTTGAGAGTGACAGGGTCAGCAAGTTTCTTGTTAGTGGTGACTATGCTTGGGGTGAGGACCAGCTGGTTGTGGACCAGCACTGGAGGTGTATTAATGCCCTGGGTGAGAACCTTCACTGTGCCACCCTGAGTGACAGGAGTGGACACAGAGAGGTGAATGGGCTCAGGCTTCTCCAAAGATGGACGATCTGCCTTCACAGATGAGATAACAGGAGAAGCATTGTACGTCTGGGCAGTCAGTACCAGGGTGGAATGGGTGGCCACGTTTGCAAAGGCTGAGGGGGTCTGAGGGCCTTTGGGTGCAGATTGTGATGGTATAATAGAATCTGGTTTGACCTGGGACTTAGATACTGATTGTTGAAATTCAATGTCCATTGCACTGGCCGGAGGGATCTGGCTGATCTTGGCACTGATCCGCTGTGGGCCTTCTGTCTTCTGGCCCGAGTAGCTCAGGAGCACAACCCCTTCTGAAGTATTCACACGAAGCCCTGCACCAGAGCCTGTGTCTGCAGGCCGGTCATCAATCACGGACATGGACCCAGGGTGGAAACGACTGTTTTCGTTACTGCTTGATCTCTGTTTACACTTGGCCGATGGAGCGATCACTGTGCCTGTCATGGTTGCTGTGCCAGTCGTGGCAGTCATACCACCAGATGCAGCAGTTATGGCACCTGCTGTGACTGTCACTGCACCTGCAGTGGCATTCACTGCACCTGGGGCAGCATTCACTGTACCTGCAGCAGCGTTTACCGTGCCCACCGTGGCAGCATTCACTGTGCTCACTGTGGCATTCACTGGAGTGGTGAGGACATTCACAGGCCCAGTGAGCACATTCACAGGCCCCTTTAGGACATTCACAGGCCCAGCAGGGGTGCTCACCAAACCTTTCAGGGTGGCCACTGAGCCTTTCACAGGACCCTTCAGGGCATTCACTGGGACCAGAGAGACATTCACAAGGCCAGTTAGGGCACTCACCAGGCCAGTCAGGGTCTGAGGAGCTGGTTTTGCCAAAGTAATCTTCTGTGAATTCTCTAAATCAATGCTGACAGGCATTCGGCTAATAACCGATGTGATTTTAGGGGCAATGACTGGAGCCACCTTTTCTTTGTCAACAGCTACCGGAATCTCTGAGGCATGGGTATCAGAAGCATTTGTTACTGGAACTGTTGGTTTTTCTTCTAATGGATGTTTAGATTCAACAGGAGGGTGTGGTGCCTCATGTAGGCAAGGGGCTGCACTCACAGGCTCTGCAATAGCTGTGGTAACACTAGTGGAAGTAATGCCTGTGGCAGATACATACTTGGGGTCCATGAGGATCTTCCTTAGGGTACTGGAACTAGTATCCACATCAGAGGCCTTTGTGTCAGGGGGAAGAGCTGGAGATGGAGTGGACTGAGCCCGTGGTTCCTCCTGCCTCGTGATCCACTCTGTCACCTTAGTAGGGGAACTCTGATGTGGAACTCCCCCAGAAGTGGCAGGGGGTGGGAGCTTTGCTATAGTCACTAAAGGAATTGTGGGTGGAGGTATGCTGGAGTCACTGGGTGGGGTCACTGGATCACTTTCAATGATTGAATGCACCTTGAACCTAGCTTGAGGTTCATCATCCACTGATGCTGGCTGGGAAAGAGGTGGGAGGTCTGGGAGTGTGGGTGCTTTGGATGGGGTCTTTTCTTCAATGCAGCTCTCTTGCGACAAGCTCTCTGCAGGTGGAGTCTTGCTTGGGTCAGAGGTGCATACCCGAGGAGGAGTAGGAGGAGGCTCTTCACTCTGCTTCTCTTCCTGGGGAGGTTCTTGGGGTACTGCCATGGTCTCCTCATTAGCAGCAGGGCTCTGGCTTTGAGCCTGCTCAGCCTCAGGAGCATGAGACTCTGTGACAGCGACCATTTTCTTGTTTGTATTCCTTTTTCGGCGTGACCGTGTTGTCTTTTGGCGCCCTTTGTCTTTACGGGGAGGAGCAACTTCCACTTTAGACCCTTTGGCTTCTTGAACCGAGTGAAAGGTTTCACTGCTGTTCCCTCTGGCTTCCTTGGTATCTACAGGGCCTGCTGAGGGATCTGAGGCACTGGCTGGTGGCCCAGAAGACTCTGTTGTAGCAGTCTTTGTCTCCAAGATTCCAGACACAGCCTCATTAGTCTCTGGCTCCAACCCTTCCTCTGGGGGCTGTAGATCTGTCTGAGATCCTGGAGGGAAAGAGGAAGGGGCAGAGAAGTTTTCAGATTCTCCAGAAATGTCATTGATGATAGAGCCAATGGCCGCAGCCAGTTCGGTCTCGCTTGCCTGATGTGCAGGCTTATCTTTCTCCGCCGCGGCCAGGCCTTCAGCTGTGCCACTGCCTGCCCCCTTGTAAGCAGCATTGGAGGAGGGCTCAGTGAACTTTGCGATGTTCTCCACAGCCTGCTCCAGCTCCATCTGCTTGGCTAGTTGTGTGGCCTCTGGGGTCAGCTTAGAGGCAGACACATCTTCCTTTTCTGGCTCTTTGTCAGGACCAACTGGATCATTCTTCGGCTGGGATGAGGAACTACCCTCTTTTGGGGGACTTTCACTTTTCTCAGGGGAGATTGCCACAACCCCAGCTTCACTGTCCACAACCTGCCCTGCAGCCCCTGTGGTTACGGTGGAACTGGCAGTGTCCAGGCTTTTCAGATGTGCAGATCTATCCATTGCTGACCTGGTGTTTCGAGATCTTCCTCTCTTTGACTTGGAGGTTTTTTCGGGAACTGTTTTTTTCTCCACTTCAGCTGGAGGAGTTTCGAGTGCACTTTTATCTGTGCTGGTCTCCTTCCTATCACGTTTCTGTTCACTTGCTGCTGCTGCTGCTGCTGCTGCTGCTGCTGCTGCTGCTTTATCACCCTTGGACTTCGTGTGACTTTCTTTCACGTTCACCTGGGGACTCACTGCGGCAGCCACCTCAGGACGCTCAACATCAACTTTTGGCTCATTTCTCCCTCTTTTCCCCTGGGAACCACCAGTGGCTGCTGATTTTTGAGATCTTGGAGACCTCCATCCCTCGGCTGGCCTGACTGTTTCCACTGGCTCTTTAGACTCATTCTCATCGTCCTCATCAGCACGCCGGCGTGTTTTCGGAGGCCTTCCCCGCCGAGGGGTGGTGGGAACTGCCACGGTTTCCTGCTGCTCTCGCTCCAGTCTCTTCCTGGTCACCCTTGGCTGCTCAGCAGGCTCTTTTGCTGGGGAGCGGTTGCCATGGTCACCCATGGTGGCATAAACACTCCTGACATTTCTGCGCCTTGTCCGGCTAAGAGGCAGGCTCGGCTCAGGGTGCTCAGGGTGCTCAGGACCCCCAAGGGAGTTGGCAGATGCTGTCCTTGTAATCTTCTCTGCCTCCATCTTCAGCTCTAACAGCTTCTGTGCTTCTCCCCGGGGAGAGCTGGACCGCTTCAGCTTCTCCCGGTCTATCCTCTCACTCTTTCTGGTGACAGGCTTCTCCACAACACCTGCTACAGCTGCCTGCACTGGGGTCCTGGAGCGCTTACTTTTGTTTGTCTTCTTATCTTTTGTGGTGACTGGAGGGTCGGCCTCTACATCTTCAGAAGCTGGGGGCTGAATTTCAGGAGTGACTTCAGCCTTTTGGTTTGCACTAGGTTCAACATTAGCAGCTGGATCTGGCTTTTCCACTTTCTGCTCTTCAGCCTCCTCAGACTTCTGAATTGCTTTTGAAAGTGGCTGGGGACTGCTGGGTTTTGCATCTATATTGCTTTCTACTTGGGAAAACGAGGCCCCAGGAGTTGGAGGCTTGACATCCAGACAAGGGGGCGGGACGGAGGTTGAACTTTCTTCAGCAGAAGGCACCACAGCAGCATCTTTCTTGGTGTCCACTCCTGGGGGCATGTCTACCTGCTCAGAGTGTTCCACAGCGACAGGAGCCGGCTCACATACAGGTTTTGCTTCTTCCAAGACAGTGGCTAGCTCCACAGTCTTCTCTTCTGTCAGCGAAAGCACCTCCCCTGTTTTCTCACTAGTCTTCTCTGGTGCTGCTGGCTCAGATTCTAGAGTCACAGCTGTGGTCACAGGAGGCCCAACAGACACTGGAGGTTTGGGGTCCAACTCCTTAGTCTCAGTGACAGGTTCTGGGGCTTTGGGATGAGTCTCTATGTCTTCCTGCTTCTCAGTCTCTTTGGATTTTTGGTCTTTTTCCTTTTCCTTCTGTTGCATTCGTGTGAGCTCCATGAATCTGCTGTGGAAGAGAACCACCGGCTCCTGAACTGGGTCGCTCGTGCTGTTTGCTCCATCAGACGCTTGTCTTCCGTACAGCCTCCCGGAAGGGAAGTCAGGGTCCTCGTCTTTCCTCTCTAGATGCTGCAGTCGCTTAGAGTCCTGCTCAAATATAGAACTGTGCAAAAAACGAGACGCAAACAACTCCTGTCTTTCCTGCTCCTCTTCTTTATGATCCTCCTTTTTATCATCCAGTTTCCCTTCTGAATCAGTCCTAATTTTCTTCTTTTTCATGTACCAGGATGGAATAGGTCTTGGGGTAGAGTCAACCTTTTCTTTATCTTTGTTGTTTCGAAAATTAGCAAATCGGGAGTCCCAGTCCAGAAAGGACCAATTTTCTTCACGGGATGAAGAGAGGGATTTAGCTCTTTCAAGCAAAGCTTTTGTGTCTGGTGTGATTGTCTTATCCAGTGCAAAAGAATAAAACTTATTTCTTTCTAAAGAACTAGAGAGTCTTTCATCTCGCTCACGTAGTTTGTCTTCTCTGTCCCTCAATAAAAAAGACAGCCGAGGACTTTCAAAGAGTGTGGAGGCTCTAGGTGAGTGGGATCTATGTTCCCCATCTTCATCAGAATCAGAGGGCACCTCACCAGGCTCCAGGTCTCGTACAGACCTCTTTCGCAGGCTGTCTCTCTTAATTATGCTGTTTGGGAAACTCACATCAAATCTGCTGGAGTCTTGTTTCATTTGAGAATCCCAACGATTGAGTTCCTCTTCAGAACTCAAGACAGATAGTTTGATTTTGGCCATGTCTGCCATTTGCTCTCTCCTGCTAGAATCATAAGGGTTAAATTTTAAGGACTCCTCTCTCACCGTTACATTAGAATAGGGGAGACCTTTCTCATCTACTTTAGGAGACCCTTTCACTGACAGTAGCCTAGGGGAGCCTAGGGGATCATCGTCTTCATGGAGGGAACCATGACGTGCACTGGGAGAACAGCCAGTCCTTTCAGACTCTTCACTGACTTGACGTGAACTCCTGTAATTCCTCTCTCTTTTGGTGCAGATATCAAAATCAACGTGATCCATCCTTTTCTTTTTGCTGGGAGGTGAGTCATCGGTGACATCTTGAGGAGGTTTGCCTACCTCATGAACAAGGCTACGCCTTTCATATTCATCTACGTCTTTTTTAGGACTGCCAAACTTCTCAGACTTGGCTATTTCCATTTCCATCTGCTGTTTTCTGCGACTCTGCTCCATCTGTTTCCGGTAACTCTGTGTGTGGTCAATGTCAATGCCAAGTTTTTCCTCAGCATTTACTATATGTGGCTTCTCCTGGCCTGATTTACGGTCAGGTGTTTCATCACGAAGACTGCAATAGTTTTTCCTGACATCCTCTTTTTCCGATCCTTGATCATCTAAGAGCTGCAGCTGTTTGAGCTGAGGTTTCAAGGGGATGGCTTTTTTTGACTGAGTGTCTTGATTTTCCACAGATTCACCTACTGGTTCCCCCAGTCTTGCTTGTAGCTCTGAGCTGGGCCTCAAGCCAGACCCAGGAGAGATACTGACAAGCTCTTGACAGTCTTTGGGGCTGGGAACAGTATTAAGTCTGTCCAGCTTGATTTTTTTAGATTCTCTTTTAAGAATTTCTTTTCTCACAGGCTTTCTTTCAGATTCACCTTCTCTCAGCAGAGTAACATCCCTCGATGACGGGTCAGGCTGCTTTTTTAAAAGCACTCGAGCATCTTCTGTCTCAGAACTGCTTTTCTTGACTTCTGGTTTTTGCTTTTCTGCTTTCAGACTGGAATCTGCAAAGCGTCTTTTCCTGGCTTCTAACTTCTCCAGATCCAGAGCACTTAGCCCCTCGGCAGTCTGCTCGGGCTTGAGGTGCTTCCTGAGTTTAGGCCTGCCTTCCTTATCGCTCACCTCTGTGTGGCTTGATAAGGCCTTGTCCCTCGGCACTTTCCCTCTAGTGGAGTCCACTTTGGAGGAGTCCGATTTGGCAGGCTCAGGCTGAGAGGCCTGGAATTTGTGTTCCAGGACAGAACACTTCCCAGTGTCATTATCAAGCCTGGCTTTCAGTTTTTCCAGAGGGGGGTGATCAATGACCTTTCCCTCCTTTTCTTTTACTCGAGTCAAAACCACGCAAGGCATGAGCTCGAGGCGATTTCTGGCTATTCCTTCTTTGTCAGCTTTCTCTCTGCTCGGCTTGTTAGAACTCCTGCACTTCTCAGGGCTCTGCTCCCGCTCGTTTTCCTGCTCTGTTTCTGAAGACTGAGAACTAGGAGAAAGAACCTTCCCTTTCCGTTTCTGCTTGTCAGATTTCTCCTTTTCCACTTTTTCCTTCCGAACTAAGCGTCTCTCCTTCTCTACTCTTTCGGGATCAAAAGTTCGTTCTTTATCTGTCTTCTCATTTTTTGTATAGCGCTCCAATCGAACCTTGTCCAGTTTATCATACCGTGGAGGGGACAGTGAGCTGCAGCTCCCACTTCGCTCTGAGGAGCGGCTGTACAGCCTCCTCTCAGGATCACTTGGCAACCTCTCTGACTGTGAAGGAGATGCCCCAGGACTCTGTGGACGGCGCAAGTGCACTGGACTCTGACTTCGCTCAATGGGTCTCCTCTCATGGTCTCTGTCCCTCTCAGATTCAAATCTTTCACGTTCTCTCTCTCGTTCCCTCTGCCTGTAGCTGTATTCCCGAATGTCTTGTTCGTAAGGGTCACTCCTATAATCTCTATATTCCCGAGGATCATCATAGTACCGTGACTCATAATAGTCTCCTTGATATGTTTCCCATTCTGAGTAAAACTCTCTCCCTCTCACTGGGTAGTCCCTCCTGGAGTCCTCAGGGTATGTGCCTGGAGTACGAACACTTTCATAGTATGCCCGATCTTGGTTGTAGTCATAGGACCCTCTTCGTTCCTCTCTGCCAAACATAAAAAGATTAACACACATATGTAGACACACACACACACACACACACAGAGCAGAAAAGTCCCATCCATTTCTGTAACCCCAGTACTCAAGAGCACAAGCAGGAGGACAGCACATTTTGAGCCCAGCCTCAGCTACACACCAAGTTGGAGGCCAGCCTGGGATACAGGGTGACACTCTATTGCAAACAAGTCTATTTTTAAAACCCTTAAAACATGATTTCATCAGTTAAACTGCAGTAGTCTTTAACAGCAGCTACTAGCCACATGCACTGTTGAGCAACTGGAATTTGGCTAGTCTAAACTGCAATGTAAATGAAATGCTGGATTTTATATAGTTTTTTTTATTATTTTTATTTTATGTGTATGCGTGTACTGCCTGCATGTAGGTAAGCGCACCCACGTCATGCAATGCCCTCGGAGGTCAGAAGAGGCTGTTGAATCCCCTGGGACTGGAGTTACGACAGGCAGTTGTTAGCTGCCATGTGGGTGCTGGGATTCGAACCTGGGTCTTCTGCAAGAACCACCAGTGTTTTTAACCATTGAGCCATCTCTCCAGCCCCAATTTTATATAGTTTTAAAAAAGAAACCCAGCAACCTCAAATAAAAGACAAATTTTAAGAAAATTGACATACTATTTACCCTAATTTCATATATGGATCAGATTATCACACTGTACCCCAGTAAATATATGTATGCATTAATTTTTAAAAATAATTTTTAAGGGGGCTGGAGAGATGGCTCAGCAGTTAAGAGCACTTACTGCTCTTGCAGAGGACCCAGGTTTGAGTCATAGCACCCACATGGCAGCTAACAACTGTCCCTAATCTGACGCCCCCTCTGACCTCTGTGGGCACTGCACAACATAGGTGCGCTTACACACATGTAGGCAATACACTCACATACACATAAAAAAAAATAAATAAATAAGGAGGCAGAAGCAGGAGGATCTCTTTGAGCTCGAGGCCAACCTGGTCTACATAGTAAATTCCAGGCTAGCTGGGGCTACAGGGAGACTGTCTCAATAATAAATATTTTTTTAAAAATTAGCCAGGCGTGGTGGCACACACCTGTAGTCCCAGCACTTGGGAGGCAGCAGCAGGCGGATTTCTGTGAGTTCAAGGACAGCCTGGTCTACATAGTGAGTTCCAGGACAGCTGGGGCTACAGGGAGACCCTGCTTCAAAAAGACAAAAAAGAAAAAAAATTAACTTAAGGGGTTGGGGATTTAGCTCAGTGGTAGAATGCTTGCCTAGCAAGCACAAGGCCCTGGGTTCAGTCCTCAGCTCCAGGGAGGGGGAAAAAATTAAGAATTTTTTTAAAAAAAGGATTTTTATTCCTTTTAAGATGCAATTTGGGGGGGGGGTACATATTTGTATTTATGTGGGCTCATGCATGTGGAAGAGGCCCTCCCAAAGGCCAGATGAGGGAGCTGGATCCCCTGGAACTGGAATTAAGGACAGTTGTTAGCCACCATGTGGATGCTGAGGACCGAACTCAGGTCCTCTGCAAGAGCAGTCAGTGCTCTTAACCACTGAGGCATCTCTCCAGCTCCCCTCAATTTCTGTTTGTTTATCTGTTTGAGACAGGGTCTCACTGGGTAGCCCTAGCTTACCTGGAATTGGCTATGTAGATCAGATTGGCCTCAATCTCACAGTGAGTTCTGCCTGTCTCTGCCTCTGAGTTTAAAAGGTGTGTGTCACCCTTGCCCCTCCTTGGTTTTTTTGTTTTGTTTTGTTTTTTGAGACAAGATCTCATTGATACCTAGGGCTCACCAATTACGATACACTGCCTGGCGAGCGACTGGCAAGTCCTAGGGATCTTCCTGTCCCTGTTCTAGAGCTGGGATTCCAAACTCCTAAGAAACATCTGAAGTTAAGCGCTAGCCTCGACATTTATTCACACACACATGCATGTGGCACAAGTACACACTCACACAAGCACATACATCTACACAATAAACAAAAACTTATTTTGCTGGGTCCATGACTATAAAAATTAAAGAACACGTATGCCCCCAAGAAGCACAAAAATTTTAGCAACAACAGGGCACTGGGCCATGGTGTGTGCAGAATGCATTTTTTGAAGAATTCAAGGATCCTTGTCTTTTCCGAGGAAGCCATCCATCCCACTGAATAGTTGATGCATGCATATCGACCAAGAATTGTCAGCAGTCATGTTTGAACAGAACTCTGTTCAAACCACAAGAAGAAAGTCATCTCCTAAATCATAATGTGACCACACACACTCATACTGAAGATCATTTTGGTAAAGTGTAGGCTCACTGCACTAACAGGCAGGAACCCTAGAATGACCAACCCTGTGACCTCATTAGCAATAGTTACCTGACCTAGGGTTGGGGATTTATCTCAGTAGTAGAGTACTTGCCTAATAAGTACAAAGTCCTGAGTTCAGTCCCCTGGCATGAGGGGAAACAAGTAAACAATCACCAAAAGTTACTTGGTCTTCACACCTCTCTATAAGGGACCAACCTCAACAATGGAGTACTTGAAAGATCTAATGCAATAGTGTTTTTAAAGTGGGAAAGCTCTATGGAAATACAGCTATTGTTTATATTCCTAAACAGAATCACTAAAGCATTTTTTTTAAACTCATGCATCAAATATTTAGTGGGCTGACTCCCCAACCCTATGGAAAATGCAAAGATCTTCAAATTCTACTGCAAGGGACTGCATTCCACATACACTGACACGTGAAACCAAACAAGGCAGACTGAAGTCATAGCAAACTCCTACATTAGAAGATACATGCCATTACAGAGGGATAAATAACCATGGAAATAAACAAAACAAAACCAGAGCCAGATCATCACAAAATGAGTGAATTTTAAATGGTAATATACAAAAAATTAACTCCCACACTACCTCATCCAACCTTTATATGACATTAAAATATTTAAATGTTAGCCGGGTATGATGGTGCACACCTTTAATCCTAGTACTTGGGAGGCAGAGGCAGGTAGATCTCTGTGAGTTTGAGGCCAGCCTGGTCCACATAGTGAGTTCAAGGACAGTTGGGGCTATAGGGAGACCCTGTCTCAAAAAAGACCAAAAAAAAAAAAAAAAAATTTAATGTACACATAAGATTTTAATGTCTTAAGTGCAACCAGGCCTCAACCACACACCTTCCACTCACTTATAGGTAGAATTCCTCTAAGCAACTAATGTATTCATAATGACTTAGGAGTTGGGGCTGTAGCTCTTTGGTGCAGTGTTTGTAAGCATGAACAAGATGCTGAGTTAGATCCCAGCACTACACAAACCCAGTATGGTAGCATATACCTATAATGCCAACAACTCAGAAGGTGGAGACAGACCATTAAGTTCAAAGTCATCCACAACTACATAGCAAGCTTAAAGCCGGTCTAGGCTACATGATGCCCTGCTCAAAAAAAGAAGAAAAAAATGAAAAGGGAAAAAAAAAAAACCCATACCAATGATTTCAAACTGCTACTCAGGGAACCTGGATTAAGAACATTTTCTCTGAAGTGACATATCTCCTGCATTTGAACACACAATCTCATGTTCTCCCTCCCTCCCCTCCTACCCTATGTGTGTGTGTATGAGAGAGAAAGAGAGAGAGAGAGAGAGAGAGAGAGAGAGAGAGAGAGAGAGAGAGAAGATGACAACATTGGCACAATTATACAAACATACAAAGAAAGACAGATAGATAGAGACAGAGGACTGTTAGAGAATGGCTTCTGAATAGTGGCTTTTTAGCCAGAGAACTGTTGTTGGTTGGTTTTTAGTTTTTTGTGTGATTTACATCTGGTCTATTAATGAGAAATCATTAGTATCTTAGCATTTATGAATTTGGCAGTTAGGGTCATTTTTCATTTAAGAGTTTAGGGACCAAAGCAAGATATTCAGCAAGAAAATGCCTCAAAAAAAAAAAAAATCATACTATGTGATTTTAACAAAAATGAACTGTCAAAAGGAGGAGCAGGGAAGGAAGACACTTGACAGATTTCTGGCTGCATGATTAGGAGCTGGGTCATCTTCATCTTGGCCGTGGGCATCTAATGCATTTTTTCACACAAAGCCTTTTGTCTAACACATGTGGACAGGGATGGGAGATCACATGATAACATTCCAGACTTCACCACAGAGCAACGTCTGACAGGGGACTTGATCATACAGTCAAAAGTTTCCATTTTCAAACATGATCAGCTATTTTTAAGAACCTGGTGACTATGTTAAAATGTGTCACTGTATTGACTTATCAACAGGAAAACTACTAGATACTATATTACCATGGCTGAAAAAACTAACACCAGGCAACCAGGCTTACCTTTCACATTGCCAAAGTCATGAGTCTATTTGTGCTTTGGTACTGTGACTTAAAAACCCCTTGAGCAATTGAAACCTGTATACTATCTTTACTAAATATGTATGGTCTAACAAGACACAATTCATTCCAATAAAATATAAGGGCATTCAGTGACAAATACCAACAGGATAGCCCAACCTACCACCAATCACATGAAAATTAGAACAGTAAAAAATAAATGTTGGGGCTGCTCTTCCAGAGGACCCAGGTTCAGTTTCCAGCACATGCCAGCTAAAAACCATCTTTCACTCCAGTTCCAGGGGATCTGATGCTCTCTTCAAGCTTCCTGGGGCACTGCATATATATGGTGCATTTACATGCAGGCAAAACACTCAACACACATAAAATAAAAATAAATAACGAAAATGTGTTTGAAGGAGATGGTACAAGAAAGAGAAAAATGAAATTTTAAGCCAATATGAAAGTCATGTGTTGCACATGAAAATTCAAGCTATATTAATAGGCTTACTATATATACCTTCTTAGGCTAGAGGTATAGCTCAAAAATAGAATATTGCTTTGGTATACACATGGTGTAATCTGGGCTCAATCTCCAGTATCAACACGCAATTAATTAAACACCTACCTTCTTTCTGTTAACATTTCATAAAAGTCTCTGATATCTTGACCAGATTTCTCCATGCAGTGATAAAATGCCAGTTGACTTTCCCGATTTGCAAAATCCACCTTGAAAATAAAAGAAAGCCATAATGAAACCCATTATTATGTAATTAATGTATGCTAGTGCAAAACAAAAACAAAATTAAAAGATTTTTAAAGAAAAAAGTTTAAGTTTCAGGTTTTAATTATGTGAAGTGTTAAGAGAAACTATTTTCTAACCCTAAAACTCTTTCAAATCCTGGCAAATTAATTTATAGTAACAGAGCCCATCCAGGAGTGAAAGGGTGGGCACAGTGGCAATGCCAGCACTCAGGAGGAAAAGGCAGGATGGTCTCAAGTCTGAGGCCAACCTGAGACACATAGTGAGACCCTAACCTACAACTCTTCTTCCTTCCCTTACCAAAACACAATCAAGAAAGAGTGAAAAAAGTAAAACGGAAAACTGAAAAAAAAATTCTATCAGAATTCTAGGTTGGCAAACAAGATCAATTAAATTTACCAATCTAAGCCAGGTGTGGTGATGCATGCCTTTAGTCCCAGCACTTGGGAGGGAGAGGCAGGCAGATCTCTGTGAGTTCAAGGTCAGCCTGGTTTACATAGTGAGTTCAGGTCAGCTGGGGCTACAAGAGACACTGTCTCAAAGACCAAATCCATCCATCAATCAATCAATCAATCAACCAACCAACCAACCAATCAACCAATTAACCAGTCTATATTGTACATAAATTTCCTCAAATACCATGGACTATGGAAGGTTGCAACTGTTCACAGATGGTCCTGAAAGTTACTAAAGCACATGACACCAATATGCTCTATTGTCTGTGATCAACTAATACCTATTATTTTATTTCCAACAAACTCTAGGTATTAAGTACATAATTATCTAAACCAACCATGAATATCAAGCTTTTAAACAAAAAACACTATGCTTGTAGCCAGATAGATCCCATTGGAAGCTCACTAAAATTTGGTGCTGCTAGTGTACAAACATTCACTATAATGGGCAGAGGTAGGTCCTGCACTGAGAATATACATAAGCGCATCTGACACCCATGGTTAATGAGAAACACTCTAAAGGTCTGTTACAGAAGGATCAGTGGCTAATGGCTTAAGAGACCTGTGTCCACAAATAATAAGCATAAAAATCCTATTATTTCCCCTAAAAACTGAGGACAAATAAACCATATTCTGTAAACCACTCTGCTTGCTGGCAATCTACAAACACCAGTAATTACTGGGGTGAGACCTGAATACACTTTTGTTGGCTTCTGTTAAAGTCACTCTCTGCACACCTTAATTTTATTCCCACCGATTTTCCTCCCCTTGGTCTCCTTTACAGCTGCTTGTGCGTATTCAATCTCATTGTAGAGAACAAGAGCCATGCCTTTTAAGCGGTCAAATACCACCTGTAAAAAAAAATAAAACAAGAACCAATTAAGAGCTTTATCTACTGCTCTGAGTGTCAGTTCCAACAAAATCCTAAGTCACACGGATGCTACTAGGAAAAAGTATTGTATATAGACTATTCTAGAAAAAATATTTAGACTCTTTCAAAAGAGGCATGTTTTAGAAAACATGCAATGAATTTTTCAGGAAATGTTGAAATAGTATGGCTTGAGGTATGTTACACCGTTTTTTCCTATATTTTATACTTTATTTACATACTGACTTTACACTGTATTTAGGAAAGCATTCTTTTATTTTGGGTTCGAAACAATAATAATGCAATAAAATTGAGCCCAGAGATCCTTTTCCTGTTGTTCGTGGTCCAATCAGCCAGGTGTGCTGTTATACTTCTGCAATCCCAGCAGTTGAGAAGCTGAAGCAAGAAGATCTCAAGTTTTGAGGCCAGCTTGAGCTACACAGCAAGCTCCAGAGATCCCTTTACACAGAATGAGACAGTTGAGAGAAAAAAGGTGGAGAGATGGCCCAGTGGTTGAAAGCACTTACTACTCTTGCAGAGCACCCAGGGTTCAGTTCCCAGCACCCACACAGTGCCTCACATTGTTTCTTGTTTCCTGCCGCTCAACGCAACTCCAGGCTAGTCAACCAGCAAATTTTCCCCATCTCCGCTTCTCAACTCTACGTAGGAGCACTAGATTACAGACACCTGTGCTATGGGCCTGCTTTTGTGTCTCATCCAGAGATCTGAACTCAGGTACTCATTCTTGCAAAACAATCACTTCTGCCCATTCAGCTACCTTCCCAGGCCTAGTTTTTTATTATTGTGTGTTTGCCTATGGTATATACCTGGTCACACATACCATTGAGCACATGGAGACATTAGAGGACAACTCTGTAGAGTTGGTTCTCTCCTTCCGTCTTACACAGTTTCTGGGAATTGAACTGAGGTCACCAGGCTTAAGTGGTGAGTTCCTCTACCCACCATCTTATTTCCCCTAGACTACTTAATTCTAATGTGAGAGAAAAATTATTAAAAAATCGCTAAGAAACATTCTTTTTCTTTTTTCTTTTTTTTTTTTTTTTTTTTTTTTTTTTTTTGGTCTTTTTGAAACAGGGTCTCCCTGTAGCCCCAGCTGTCCTGGAACTCACTATGTAGACCAGGCTGGCCTTGAATTCACACAGATCCCCCTGCCTCTGCCTCCTGGGATTAAAGGTGTGGACCACCACGCCTGGCTCCAAAAGAGTTTTAAGATGCAAATTATTAAGGAAAAGGGGAAAAAAAGGGTTTGGTGACACAACACACACTTTTTAAAAAAAATATTTTATTTATTATTTTTATTTTATGTGTATGAGTGTATTGCCTGCATGTATGTGAGTGCGCTGTGTCATGCAATGCCGCGGAGGTCAGAAGAGGGCTTCAGATTCCCCTGGAACTGGAGATAAGGGAGGTTCGTAGCCGCCATGTGGGTGCTGGGAATTGAACCTGGGGTCCTCCGCAAGAGCAGTCAGTGCTCTTAACCACTGAGCCATCTCTTCAGCCCTACAACACACACTTTTAATCCTAGCACTCAGGAGGTAGAGGCAGGTGCATCTCTGTGAAATTGAGGCCAATCTGGTCTACACTGTGAGTTCTATACCAGCTGGAACTACAAGGAGACCCTGCTCTCAAAAAGAAAAGGAAAAGGGGCAGGAGAGTTGGCTCAGCAGTTAAAAGCACTGGGGTTCAATTCCCAGCACCTGCGAAGTGTGGTGGTGCACACCTTTAATCCCAGCACTTGGGAGGCAGAGGCAGGCAGATCCTCTATGAGTTTGAGGCCAGCCTGGTCTACAGAATGAGTTCCAGGCAGCTGGAACTACAGGGAGACCTTGTCTCAAAACGACCAAAAAAACAACAAAAAAAAAATTCCCAGCAACCACATGGTAGTTAACAACCATCTGTAACTCCAGTTCCAGGGTAACATGACACTCTCTTCTGACCTCCATGGACATTTCAAGACACAGGTGCACTTACAAACATGCAGGCAATACACTCATACATACAAAATAAAATAAAATTTAAAAATATTTTTAAAAAGGAAAAAGTAAGGAAGGCATAAGAAGATGGAAGGACCGCCGGGGGGAAAGGGCAACAATAGAAATTGAGACTAAAGGACAAAATATAAAGAAACAAAGTCAATAACAAGTGCCTACCTTTAACACAGGCCCGTATCGGCAGAAATGTCGTGTTAAATACTGATCGGACACATTTGAAGAAAGCCCATCTAACCACACACAGTTTGTAGGCATGCTCTTTCCAAACCCCAGCTGGGTAGAAAAAGTAAAATTTCTATTAGCACAGTTCACAATTACAATTCAACTCCAAATTCTGAGAAAACTAGTCTTTTACAGGGATCTTAATTCAAAACGCCTGTCACTCTCACCCAGTGAACCCAGGAACTCATGCATCAATCCTTCATATGAATATCTAAATGGGTAGTATCTAATTCAAATTTATGGAAATATGTGTTGGGCATGATGGCACATGCCTTTAATTCCAGCACTCGGGAGGCAGAGGCAAGTGGATCACTCTGAGTTCCAGGCTAGGTGGAGCTACAGGGAGACCCTGTCTCAAAAAGATGGGAAAAAAAAACCCAAAAACAAAACTATCAAAATATACAGTACAGCAACCTTACCTGGCTATACAGGTGTTAGTCTAGATTGCAGTATAAGGGCAAAGTAGAAGACTTAGGGTTCTATAAACGCCCTACTGCAACCTTAATATGTATTCCCCAAATCTTAAAACAAAGCAAGTCTTAACAGCATAATAATTTATGCAAATTCATTTACCTTGAGACGATTATTTCCAAGGTACTCCCCATCCATCTTCTTAATAGCTTTACAAACACTGGCAATATCACAGTACTGCAAGAACGCATACTGAGGAACTCCATTTACTTTTTTAATATCAATATCCTGAAAAAGCATGAAGACCACTAAGCAATACAGCAATAAGAAAATAAGCCAAATCCACAGAGCACTTTACTTCTCCAGAATTCATGGTCCCAATAACTTCTTAGTTTAACTACATATCCTAACACAATGCTAAGAGCACTGATTACTCTTGCAGAGGACCCTGGTTCAGTTCCCAGCACCACATGGGGGCCAACAACCATCTGTAACTCCAGGTTCAGGGGATGTGACACCCTCTTCTGGTCTCCTCAAGCACTGCACACATGATGCACTTACATTCTGTGAAACACTCAAAAAATTAAGAAAAAAAAAATCAATATATCCACCTGAACCAAGGCTGATGATTGCTACAACAGCACTCCCATACCCAGAGTGAATGGATGTCTAAATACCTGAACTGCTTGTGAACACACCCCAGATCGGCATCCCTAAAGCCACACCAGAAAGGAATATCCTTACCCTTTTGGAATGCACAGAACCTACAGTGGTTCCTGATTCTCCTGCCCTGCCTAAGAGGAGATGGTTTAAAAAAAAACAAAGAAAAGAAAGAAAAACACCTAGCTTAGACAAAATGGTTCAGAGAAACCCACACAGTCAAATGGCAAAATTCACAGTGATGACCTCGGCTGTGAACTGCAGAACACTTAAAAACAGCAAGAATTCAAAAGTCAACAATCAAAACTTTAAAACAGCAAAATGAGTAATAGATTTTAAAAGCTACTCAATGGGTCTTAAAAAATAAAAGACAGCAATAAACTATATTCAAAAGTCTTCGAAGTAATAGTAAATAAGTACATTTTTGCTGTTATACAGACTATAAAAAGATCATTTAAGAGAATCTCAAAGAATATTGATAAACTCAGATATATTCTTGTAGCTATAGCATAATCTGTCACTGAGAAGCAATGTTTCTGTTTCCAAGAGTGTAATTTAAAATAGTGGCATTATTCCAAGTTTGATAGGCCAACACTAGGGAGGCTGAGGTGGGAGGACTATGTGAGCCTAGGAGTTCCATCCCAAGTAATAGCTAGTTCCTTACCTCAAAAAAAAAGGCCAGGCTGGAGAGATGGCTCAGCGGTAAAGAGCACTGGCTGTTTTTGCAGAAGACCTGGGTTCAATTCCCAGCACCCACATGATGGCTATGCATAACTCCAGTTCCAGGGAATCCAACCACCTCTTCTCACCTCCATGGGCATTGCATGACATGGGTGCACTTACACACATGCAGGCATAACACTCATACACATAAAATAAAAATAAAAGTAAAAAATAAAATAGGCCAGCCAGGGAGTCTGATGGCTAATCCTGGGTGTCAACTTGACTAGATCTGGGATTAAATGAAATGAGAGAGATCTTCTTGACTGGATCATCTGAAGCTGGAAGACATACCCTAAATGTGGGTGTTACCTTCTGATGGCAGCCTGTATAAAAGGCCATGGCAGAGGAGAACACCTGGCTTCTTGCTGCTTGCTTTCTCTCTTGCTAGTGAGTTCGTCTTCCTGCTGTAGACTGAAGACTACAGCTGATCTTTTGGAATTTGTCAGACCTTCAGCGCCAGATTGGGACTACTCAGACATCTAGCCTTGAGGACTGAGCGACTACGGAGTCTCAGCCTCTCCAGTGTGGTGCAGCCATTATTGGACTACTCGGACTCTATCCTGTGAGCTAAGCTGATAAATCTCTATAAATATATATTCATTCTGTTTCTTTGGAGAACCCTAATACAGAGACCCTATCTCAAAAAATTAAACTAATTAGCCAGGCATGGTGGCTCACACCTTTAATCCCAGCACTCCAGAGGCAGAGACAGGAGGATCTCTGTGAGATCAAGGTCAGTCTGATCTACATAGTGAGTTCCAGGGAAGCTAAGGCTACATAGTGAGACTATGTCTCAAAACAAAACATATTCTGACTTGTGATTGCCAAATAACAAATTGAATGATGTATAAAGATAACAGTCTAAAAGGCAGATGTTGAAGACCAAAGATTACCTTCCAGCTGCCCATCCATTATGTAGTATAACTAGAATTATAATAGGTTACTCATTTTTTAAAATTTTTGCAATCTTCATACAATGGTATTTAGATTCCCTCCCCTACCTGCACAACCCCCCTTACTGCCCCCCTGCCCAATATATAAGACCTAGAGAATCTAATTTGTATCTCCAAATGTCCTTCAGAGTTCAACCACTGGAGCCTGGTTAACCTACCAAGAATCCCATGCTTGAAAGAGACCGACTCTGCCTCTTGTAGGTTACTCTTAATGCCAGATGTGGCGGAATACACTTTTAGTCCCAGCACTCAGGAAGCAGAGACAGGAGGATCATTCTGAGATCCAGGCCATCTGCTCTATACAGTGAGATGCTATCTCAATGTGACAGAGAGGATAACAAAATCAAAAGAAGTTTTAAAAAAAATCAAAAGCAGCCGGGCGTTGGTGGCGCACACCTTTAATCCCAGCACCTGGGAGGCAGGGGCAAGTGGATCTCTGTGAGTTCAAGGCCAGTCTGGTCTACATAGCGAGTTCCAAAAGAGACTGAAAAAAAGGGTGATGGTCCTTGGGGCCGGAAAAATGGCTTAGTGGTTAACAACACTGGCTGCTATTGTAGAGGAACTAGGTTAGATTCCCAGCACCCACATGGTGGCTAATAATTTGTCCTTAACTTCCAGTTCCAGGGGATCTAACGCTCTCTTCTGTCCTCCACAGGCACTGCATGTACATGGTGCACTTACATTCAGGCAGGCAAAACACCCACAGACATAATTTTTTTTGGGGGGGAGGGGGTCTTTTTGAGACAGAGTCTCCCTGTAGCCCCAGCTGTCCTGGAACTCATTATGTAGACCAGGCTGGCCTTGAACTCACAGAGATCCGCCTGCCTCTGCCTCCCGAGTGCTGGGACTACAGGCGTGAGCCACCACGCCTGGCTCACACCTAAGTTTTTAAAGGGGTTTTTGTACTATCAAGTTATATTGTATGAAAATTGAAAAACTCAATTAAAAATATTTAAGGAGGGGGTCTTTTGCTTCAAGCACAATGTAGAAATGACAAAAAAAATAGAATAGACACGTACACATGAACACACACAGATTAACAGCAGTTACTATCAAAATACTAAAAACCATTTTTACTCTCCAATATCCAAATATACAAAAACAACTTCTTCACTGATATGCAGTCTTAGGGGGCTGGAGAGTTGGAATGCTAGCTCAACAGTTAAGAGCACTGGCTATTGTTGCAGAGGACCAGGATTCAGTTCCCACCACCCATAAGGCAGCTAAACCACCATCCTTAACTACTGTTCCAGGGGATCAGATGCCCCTTTCGGCCTGTGTGAGGACTGCATGTATGTGGTGCACACACATCCATGCAGGCAAAACATCCATACACATAAACTAAAAAAAATTAGACAAAAGATTAAAAAAAAAAAAGTTTTGAGCAAGAGTGTGATGAGGCACACCTGTAATCCCAATACTCAGGAGGCAAAGGCAGAAGGGTCCTTACAAGTTCAAGGTTATCAGCTAGTTATAGGCCAGCCAGTGCTACATAATGAGACTCTGTCTCATAAAAAGAGCAGAAACGGAAGGCTAGGGTATAGTTCAGATGGTACAGAGCACTTGCCTATTAAGTATGAAGCCCTGGTTTTCTCCCCCAGCACCTGATAAACTGGTGTGGTAGTACAGGACTATAACCCCAACACTTTGAAGGGCAGAAGGATTCAGAAGTTCAAGGTCACCCTTGGCTATTTATCACATTTCAAAGCAGATTGGGATATAGTAGACCATGTTGCCAAAAAGAAAAAAACAAAAACACCTTAAAGTTATAAAAGTAATTCCCCTCTTTTCTTCTTTTTTTAATATTTTATTATTTTTATTTTATGTGTATGCTAAAGAGATGGCCCTTTTTCTTTTTTTAAACAAAGACCAAACCAGTATATCAAGTAGTATAGGACTAGAGAGATGGCTCAGTGGTTAAGAGCACTGATTGCTCTTACAGAGGACCCATGTTCCCATCTGTAGCTCCAGTTCCAGGGAATCCGACACCCTCTTCTGACCTCCACAGGCATTGCATGACACAGGTGCACTTATATGCATGCAGGCAATACACTCATAAAATAAAATAATTTTTTTTTATTTTAAGTCTTTTTGAGACAGGGTCTCCCTGTAGCCCCAGCTGGCCTGGAA